GATGGGTTACTGGCATGCATATTTGTTGGAATATTGTATATCTAATTGAACTACACAATTTGTATCTCTTGCAGTTACCCTCAACGTGTATCTAAAAAGAAAGCAACTGTACGATATATGTTTCACAATCCCGAGGACGTGAGATGGTTCAAGGTAAATACCGCTGACATTTTAATTGTATAATTGCATGAGAAATGGTCTCTCATGGTCAGACCATTTCTCTTTCTTCCCTTGTTGATCTTCTTGTTAATTGCCAGCCGATTGAAGTTTGGACGAAGTGTGGACGCCGTGGTCGTATTAAAGAACCTGTTGGGACACATGGTATGGCAATCTATCAATATATATGTTTTAGAATTAATTTGTCTCGAGGCAAAAGGTGGTAAAATGCTGTATAATTTATTATTGAGTTCTTACATGTCTTCTGTTTGGCAAATATGATAACTGGTGTAGAGAGAATCCATCCATCAACTGTGGAGTAGCAAATGTAACAAACTGACGTGTATATTTGTGCCCGGGGTGCATGTCAAGATTTGGTGCATTCACATGAAAATTAACTTCGATTTGGAAATAACTGGTCATTTAGGAACTAGGATTTGTTGCTCTGCCGTAGGCTGCATAATTCAGACAGACTGATTGTGCAATGTTTATTTTTATATTTCTTCAATTAACCAGAAATAATAATTTCATTATGATCATTAATCAAAGTTCTGGACCATAAAGCTTAATGGATTACAAATTCTCTCCGTATCATTTTTCAGGGGCAATGAAATGTATTTTCAACGGGGTCCTCCAGCAGCATGACACTGTCTGCATGAGTTTATACAAGCGCACGTATCCAAAGTGGCCACAATATTGGTTCCCACTTCCAAGTGCTTGCCTAAATTAGTCCAGCATCACAAAGCAGACGGTTTCTTGCTGGAGAAGTCGTGTTTACGTGTGAACGGGAATGAAGCTCTGGTTCAGATTTGGTTATAAGGATCTGTGTAATTCTGGCTTGCTCATTTGGTTTCTTCAATTCTGGGGAAGCAAAAATTTTGTCTCTGTAGTTTATGTCAAACCATTTAGGTTATGCTTGTATGCAGCTTAGGTACTGCATGGTAAAATGAATTGGATTTTAATTTATTTTTCTTCTTTAATTTCTGTTGAGCACAGTCCGTTTGGCATAATGAACATGCTTCTTGTTTTTGTTCCCTGATAAGATTGCTGTTGTATGTGTGCGAACATTTGATTGTTAATTTTGTGTGATAAAATCAATACACTACTCTTCTCTTGAACATCTTAGAAGAATTGAGTCAGGTTTTAGGACAGCAAGAATTCATTTCATTACTCGAATAACAGTGGAAACAAAACTAAAATTTGAGTCTTTATTTCATTATATTTTGTATTTGATAGAGCCAAATCTCTCTTTAGAAATTGTTGTATCTTGTTGAGTAATGTTGACTGCGACGCTAGACACTACATAAAAGTAGATTGTTATTTGTGAGTTTCTTGATTCTATTGAAGTATAATATGGTGAATTGACATTTGGTAAGGAACATTAGATAGTATTGTTTGTTGTGTCTAGTTGTGTGCACTACACGTTATTTCTAAAGAAAATAACGTAGCAAGATCACAGAAGAAATGCAACTTGCTTGACACCATTTAAATCTCCGATCATTTGAGTCTAACCATGCTTTGTTGAATTGGAGTTTTAAGACAAACTGAGAATGTTCTACAAAAAGGCACAAGCTATTCCAAACTGGTCTCAATCTATAATTGTAAACTGGTGAGAAATGCTAAATCACACCATCTTACATGGCTGTGGATACTGAAAAGTTTTATGTTTATGAACGCAATATAGTGCCATTGGACTAAGATTAATGGAAGCAAAAGCCTTGAGCTCAGTGTCGTTTTCGAATGCGACAACATATATTCCATCGAGAATCACAAACGCTTTGATCCCATCACCGGATCTCGTGTCCATTGATACGAGTGATTCCGAATATGCAGGTATACAGTTGGATGCACGGATAGGTCTTCCCAAACTGAAGTCGATATCATATGTACCAAACTTGTACGAACTGATGAAAGACAAAATTTGAGGTTTTTTATTTTTACTTTTTCCCTCCAGATTTTCATAGTAACCAGGACACCCTTTTTCGTGTTTCATAATCTGAATGAAGTCATCGTCAATTTTTCTAATCGATTCCCTTATTTTACTCTGAAGGGTTCTCAAGAGTCTCATTTTTGTTACTACATTGTGCTGCTGCTATCTACAAGGAATTCGCGAAACAATTATCTGAAAGGTTTGACACGATTTTTCTTCTCAAGCTCACAGCGTGTGTCAATAAAGACTTGAATCTAAGAGACCAACCCGAACAATGACCATTGTAATTGGAAGAAACATCATGATTCTCCATCAATGACAAATTGTCCCCACCTAACTATCAACCATTCCCAGAATGATAGGTGGCAACTATGATGTCATCACCTTATTTTTAACCAATCACAAGTCATTTTTGATTACCTAACGATAGGTAATCATTGCACGATGCCATAGCTGCAACCTTGGCATCATGATGACCTGCATGGTCGACCTTAACAATTAATTAGGGGTCCAAGATTTTGGACGATAGCACACACTCCTAGGT